TTTTCTGATATTTCTCGTCATGTTGAGCTAGAATCGGAGCGCCAAGAGGCGACCAATGCTACTGTCCTTTTCACCCAGGGTGGCATGTCTAAGACTAAAGGGTCTAAGCGTAAAGGAAAAGGAAAGACAGATAAGCAGGATGGGGCAAACAAGCTTGCACCAAAGGATGACAACAAAACCAAGCGCCGTCGGGGCAAGCGTGGTGGGAAGAAAGACTTGTCCAAAGTCAAATGCTATAACTGTGATAAGAAGGGTCACTTCGCTCGTGATTGTACTGAGCCGAAGAAGGTATCTTTCTTGACTAAACCTTCCCACATATATGTATGTGAGCATGTTTTAGTTGCTAATACGTCCTCTGGGTGGATTGTAGATACGGGAGCAACCAAACATGTGACTCGAGATCGAGAAAGTTTTTTTGGATTATCGACGAATTCCAAAGGGCACCTCTGGTGTGTTCATGGGTGATGGAAGCCGTATAGAAGCTTTGGGAGTTGGTTCATATCAACTTCAGATGCGCAATGGGCGCACATTGCTCCTCAATAATGTGCTCTACGTTCCTGGAATTCAGCATAATCTATTTTCAGTTTTAGAGTGTTTGCGTGATGGATATTGTTTTAAGTTTTCTTCTTTTGGTTTGGATGTGTTATTGGATGGTACAATTGTTGGTCATGGTTTTTTAAGGAGTAACTTCTTTTATTTGGATTTGAATGATTCTGATTACTCATCTTCTTATATAGCTTATGCTGATGTACATGTTGATTCTGCAACTTGGCATGCTAGACTAGGACATATAGGACGTGACAGGATGACAAGGTTAGCTAGAGAAGGTCTTTTAGGCTCACTCGCTAAAGTTGACCTACCTATATGTGAATGTTGTCTGGCTGGTAAAGCTATAAGAAAGCCTTTTGGTAAGGCTAAGAGAGCTACTCAACCGCTAGAGTTAGTTCACTCGGACATTTGTGGACCTATGAGTGTGAAGGCACGTCATGGCGCCTCTTATTTTCTCACATTTATTGATGATTACACGCGATATGGTTATGTCTATCTGATCGCTCACCGCTATGAAGCTTTGGATTGTTTCAAGCGTTTTATAGCTGAGGTTGAGAATCAGACAGAGAAGAGTTTAAAGGCTCTTCGTACAGACCGCGGACGCGAGTACTTATATGAACAGTTTAAAGAACTATGTGAAAATAAGGGGATACGCAGACAACTTACTGTTCCTTATACACCGCAACAAAATGGTGT